GATCATGATTTACTGGTTACACTTGAACTATTTTATTGAGACGTTATCTGGGTAGGCTGGAGTGTAGACGTTCATCTCTGATCAAGTTGGTAATTTCTTACGGACCTAAGGTGACCTTGGGTAGGCTTTAAGGCCCCAAGGCAATCCCTTGGGTAAATCATTGGACTGCACATGGTGTACGGGTGGAGGGCAGTTATGTGGTTTATTTCATTATCACTCATACGAGATTTTACTGGATCACGGTCCTAATATTACAGTTTATTTTTAAGTATGATTTCTATTGGATACTATATAGGTATGATTCTAAAGTATGGAGGTTCATCTATGATCAAGCTGGTAATTCCTTACGGACCTAAGGAGACCCTTGGGTAGGCCCATAGGCCCCAAGGTACTCCCTTAAGGTGGCTCATTTGATGTGTGCTTAGGGTAAGTCCTTATGGATGTAGTTCTGGGGAAATACATAAAGGTGTTCGGTTGGAGGGTTTTTCTATGGTTTTAAAAATATGTTTTAAATTGATATTGTTTTAAAAAGATATGTACATTTTCACTGGTTTTGGTTGGAACACACTAGATATCTTATTCTGATCTCCTGAACTTGGTCCTCTGAATGTTTTCTCTGAACTGAAATCTTCATGTCTTTTACTCGGAGAAATATCAGTGGAACCTCAGCTCATCTCGAAAACCTGTAGACGTCTGAATCAACAAGAAAAATTTATGTTTTCCCATTTCTCTGCATGTCCTTTAGCATCACTTGGTAATTCTGTATTATTAAGTTTTCCAAAGCTCACACTTTTACTCTCCATTTCAGGTTAAAAGAATTGATCCAGTGCAACTATCGACTTTTGTAATGGGAATTCCATTGGCTTGGGTTGAAGAGTACGGTACAAGTGTAATTAGGGGGCATATATATCATGTTTGATTTTTATAATTAGTATGAACTTGTATGATTTTAATTATGTTTGTAATATATGAATTGTTTTCTGAACTGATATTTTGTTTATAAATTATTTTATGATTTTACACGTTTTAACAGAAATTTTACATTTTCCCTGGATTTTTACTGTGGGTCACACCGATGGCCCTAATGTGACACCTCGGATCGGATTGAGTCACCCGCATTTGTCTGTGGGTGTTACAGGTCTAGTATGACTCAACTTGTTGTTCGATTTATGATATTTATATATTATGTAATTTTTCTCTCATATATATAAAATTATAATGTAAAAAATATTAGCTTGATTGGATTTAAATATTCAGGGGTTGACTATTTGTGTGTCGAGTAAAAAATGTGATATAAATGAATTCTTATTTATTACAAATTTTAAAAATAAATCGAATCAATTTAGGTGACCAACACGAAACACAAACTTAAAGTTAATGATGATTTTGAGAAAAAATAGTTGAGTGACCAAAACAAAACTTTAAAAATAGTTAAGTGACTAAATATGTAATTTACCCTTGCTATTTTTAACGGAGTTAATGTATGAGGCAAACAAGGTAATAATTTAAACTTCAAGGGGCAAAACGTCTCGAAAAATACTGTGGGGGCAACTCGGTACAAATGACATACTTTAAGGGGCAATGATGCATTTAAGCCAAAAAAGATTATGAAAGATAATGTAATTAATATTTTATTTTAAATAATTTACCTTTAAATTTTTAATTAATTTATAATTATATTTTGAGTGCTTCAAAATTTTAAATTTTTATAAATTAAATTAATGGTGCTCATCGTTAGTGGTGCTAATTTATGCTCGTCGAGCCTGATAGAATTTTTCTATATTATTTCAATTGGATCCATGTATTTTAAATTTTAAAGAGTTTTTCTTATTAAGTATACATATATAATAGTATATTCGGTTGCTATACCGTATAATCATGCAAGGATGTGGAGTTTCCGGGTAAGACAAGGCAATGCCTCATTAAGAAAACATATATATATATATATATATATATATATATATATATACATACATACATATATATTCCCTTCCTTTTACCCCTTTGTTAAACTGTGAAGAAATCGTCGCTGTTTATAACCCATCACATTTGTTAAAGTTTTCTTAATCTAAATTAGGGATAGATTCATTTTTATGAAACTTTTAAAGATTGTATATTCTCATTATCAACATGTCATGTATCAAAAGATTCACAATGTATACATAAGTGGTGGCTTTATTATCAATAAAATAGTCTTAATCACAAATAAAAATCCGCTTAGATAACCTTTCCCCATGTATTCCTCATTTCAAGAAAGTATAAATTTATTTAATTCAAAAATTAGTTTAATAATTTTTATTAATTAATCCATACTAATAAAATTTCTACATAGAGTAGATACATAAAGAATATTATTCAACTCTAGTATTTTTGTTAGAAGTAAATTCGAGTAAAATCTTTAATTATCAGATACTTGTGAACTGCTAGAAATATTCTTGTAGTTTCTCGAATTTTTCACTGTACACGTGGAGTGAACAACACAAAGTGGTATTAAGGGATGCTAATACAGAAGAAAATCAATGAGTTAACGAACGCCATTGTTGCTGAAAAAGCTTTAAGTTTTGACAATAGAGAACAAAATCATCACTCCTTTTTTTACGTCGGAATTTCCTCAAAAATTCCAATGTAATCGATAGAGGCATCATAGGCCAACTCATCAATAAAGATCATTTGTTTCCTCGCAAATGAATAATTTGATATTCTTTTATTTTCACTCCACTACATAAATTCTTTAATCGTTAGGGCCAGGTTTACTAGATTTATCTAAAACCCCAATTACCCAACCAAATTATAACCTCAAACAAGACAATTTTTTATTGTTTAAGCTAATTCAATCCGGTTTTATTTGTGAACCTGACTGGTATAAACCAATTATATAATATCGGAGGGAGTCAAATGGTTGGTGGGAGCCATCCCCAAATATTTTAGGTTTAATTCTTTTAAAATTTCTTTCAACTTTTTTTATTACAATCATTATATTATGCAAAATTTAACAAGATAACATTAATCCAATGGATAAGAATGGACGTTGAAATGACAGTGATAATGGATGTGGTTGGCAGCAACACTTTACAAAACAAAAAAGGTTACGAATACTTTGATAAAGTTGAAAGAAATACGACAAGAAAACAATACCAAAGTAGTGAAACATAAAAAAAGAAAAAGAAAACTCCAATTTGACTCTTTCCAAACAAAAGTTGTGTTTTAGAGTGTATGGCCTTAAAGATTATCTTGTCTATTTGATTTGTTTGAGGAGAGGTGGTGGGGTTGGCCATCTCTTTCTACGTGGTTCCCCTCATTTGACTTCAGTCGCCAAATGTTGGCTGATTCGTTATTACAATATTTACTGTTACCTCTTATGAAACCATATCATTCATCTATCTTCATTGACTTTCTCCATCTATTCATGTCCTGTTTGATTCTCTATATAAATTCATCGACTAACTTAAATGGTTATAGGATTTAAGATAGAACAATTACATCTATATAGTATATATATATATATATATATATATATATATATATATATATATATATATATATATATATAAATATAATTCTAAATAAATATTATTTTATAATTACTCCATATTAATATATAAATCAGTACATAAAAGAAATAACAGTGCATGTTAATATAAAGCTACTAATAAACGAACAAATGTAACAAAAATATGAAAAAGAAGGGGGGAAAATCAAACAAGCATATATCAACTAGTTATTAGGGGATGAGACTTTAGATCCTTAAGTAATGTTATGAGTTTAAATTTTAACGTTTTTGAATAAGGCAAACTGAATTAAAATAATTATCCTTGTCTCTACCGTATTTACACCGAATTAATAGGTTAATAAATTAAAAATCAATAATAATATAAAAAAATCAAATGGGCATATGAGTAAAATACACCACATGAGTCACGAGATTGAGAAAGGCTTAAAAAAAAAGGGCAGTTTATATATTGTCTAATAATTGCACTTCACTCCAGTTTCGTCACCAATTGTCAGCCGCCGCTGAAAGCTTTACTCAAAAGTTTAAAAACTTGTAACTAAATGCTACCTTTCGATATTTGTATAAAAACCTTCTCTCAATATCTTTTTCCTTCTTTGTATTTTTACTATGGACGACGGTTTAGGGCAGTCGCCGCTATCTTCTATCCGCCGCCACAACTCCATCTCATCCCCCATCCAAGGCCCTGCCAAGCTAACTCTATGGACTCCAAAGCCTCTCCAAACTGCCACCAGCCTCCCAAACGGCAGCGCCGCCCCATCGCCGCTTGACCTCGAGCTTATCTCCCTCAAAGCCTCCTCTGCTTCCTACACTTCACTCAAAGACATCCTCCCTTCCCCCGCCGTCTCTATCAACTCCCCCATCGCCGCAGGATCCGCCGCAAAGTCCGGGTACGAAATCTCGATACGCAACCGTTTAGTAAAACATGCCGCTTGGGCTTATCTTCAGCCCATGTCAACCTCCCCTGACTCCTCCGGTCATCACCTTTTCCGTCGGCTTTGGCTCCGGTTCTCATCTCAGAATCCCATCTCTTCCTGCCTCCGGTTCTTCAACCTCAAACTCCTCCCCCTTCTGACCCGACTCGTTGATCGGATCTTCCGATCCATTGGAATCATCTTCAACAGATAACAGATAAAGGTTGCGTTTTCACAATCAGAAACAAGGGAAACAATATTCAATCAACTATATAAACAGTACGAAAACATATGTATAGAAATATAATTTATGTTACAAATAAAAAATTGACTGAATTGAATTCCAGACTGGGTTTCTTATCTTTTTCCTTTCTTTTTTGGTTTTCATTGTACAAATTTTCATTTTTTTATTATTAGAATTTGTTAATTGTGTGGTTTCATACGCCGGCCGCCAATCAGGTTTGAGCCGGACGAGGTCTCATACGAGGCGAATCACGGTGACCATTTGGCGTTGATGGATCATCAGGTTTCTGCAAGAAAGGTTTGGCCAAATAACTTCAATGCTAAATGTTTCAAATTCATGCAAAATGAATCACCAAATACATTACCTGAAGAACTACCTGATTAGCTTGTTTAAACTTCAAAGATTGGTTTGCCATGTATTGAAGCATTTCAAAGAATTTTCCCTGCCCCATTACTGCGAAACGTTGGCAGTATTTAAAAATAAAGTCCCAAATTCTAGCTTTGATCTCTTGAATCTTTCTATCCACTTCTGTTTCATGTCTTGCCATGAATGGCCGAAGCAAGGTATCATATACATAACCAGTTCCCTGCATTATCCAAAGTCATAACCTTAACATTTGCAGAAAAGCTAAATTTTATTCCACTGCCCTTTTGTTTTTTGCATTTACCTTTGTTTTAGGATACCACAGGTACACTAACATTCCAACCTTCATCTCGCCATACATCGGCAACCTTCAGAATGGTTAAAAATCTTATGTTAGTATCATGAACAATTGGAAAATACTTGGTAATTAGGCAAGTTGGATTAGTTTTGAGTGGACTCTTGGGTCGTTATAGGTTCGGATTGTTTTCGGTTTGGATCATCTTAGGTTCAATTTAATTAAGATTTGGATTGTTCACTTTTTATGGTAAAATTGAATGAAGTCGAGTTTAAGTTCGAATTGGTTAGATCGATTTTTGGATTGAAATCAAAATTGAGAGGTTAAACTATGGAAGTTGAAGGACGTTTCTGTATACCATGAAATGAATACTTCCCCTGTCCATTCGAAAACTATCAGAAACGCCATAAGGATCCTGCGAAAATGCATTGCATACATAATTATTGAATGTAAAAAAAAAAAAAAAAGCTAAACAAATGATGAACATGGCAGAACTGAAAATTGTTTGAGCTTCTGTAGTGTGTTTTCTGCAGTAAGTTAAGAAAAGTTAGCTATATTCCAATTCAATATGATGGTGATCAGAATCCATGGATTCTATGGTAAAAGTAAGTTTGTTCTCTTTAAAGGATTCGGATTTAAGTAGTTAAGTTTTTAGGATACGTACATACTATCATATAAACTATAGAAATTTTTTAACATATATTACCTTGTAATCCACAAGACTAATCAAAATGAAAAAAGTGATGGTAACCGGTGAGTTAAAGTTGTAATTTTATAATAAACTGTGTCCATTCATCATTCTTAACGTCGTATGCATGGCCTTTGCCCCTAATAGAAAAATTAGTGGTCCAGAAGCCAAAAATAAATAAATAAAAGGATATTGATACCAATATTGGCACCAAAATCTGAGTTCCTCGATTCCAACTTTGTTCTTCTCCACCGTTTTAAAGCACTCAAATGCTGGATACGCATATCCAAGAGCCAACCTGCAAGCACAAAATCATCGGAAAACAGATGCTAACAAAACCCAGATGATTCGAATTACCCATTCTTTAATTATATTTTAACAAGCAAACAACATTACAGCAAAAGCATTAGTAAATTACTTACACAAAAATTCTGTTAATGAAGTCACCCAACATTGTTTTTTTTTTAAAAAAAATTCAATACTTAATTTTCCTGGAAAAACTAATAAAAGAAAAATCAATATATCTTTATTAATTCATTCAGTCAATGAATTTCGGCAAAGGAAAAAGAGAAGGTGTATTTGCAAAGCTGTTTGGAGATGAAAGGCTAAATGAATTAATGGAAGTTGCTTGATGTATGGCATCAAAACAGGATCCCCTTTAAAACCTACAAAAAAAGAATGGCATGAAAGAAGAAATGAATCGAAAAACCAGAAACAGAAATAGCAACTGAAACAGAAATCAAGGAAAGACAAATTCGTTAATTTTTTGGGACATCAATAAGACATTCTACGCATGATGTTAAGACCTCATAACCATCAGTAGGACATGTTTTGCATGATGTTAAGATCTTATGGATCATTATTAAGGCCTATGGCATGGTGTTAAGTAGTAAGTACTTGTGTGCATGAACATGATGTGTTAGAATATACTCAAAAATTAATCATGAGATAATTGTAATAATGTATTTAATTTTATCTTATTTATTAATATAAGGTATGCCGTTATGGAAATTAAGGAGTAATTTGTTTAGTAGACTTCGGATATTAAACTTATTAGCTCAATTTATATTTCATAGCAACGTTTTGATATATTTTAATTATTTTTTATTAATTTAAATAAAATAAATTTATTTTAATTTTATAAAACTAAAAATTAAACCCATAAAATCACATGAAACATATGTAAAATACTTACTAATTAATAACCTACTTTTAAATATGAAATATGTTGATGTTTGATAAATTGGGTCAGGCTAAGTGACCAATCTCATTTCATAACATATCGACAGTTCAAAAACTTATATCATAAATGAATTGGTGCCCAATATTAAAATTTAGAAGGCCGAAAAGATAGACAGTTGTGGCATGACGTTTGGGTTTTAATTGGAGAATGATAGGTCAGGCTAGCCTGGTATGTATGGTATAAATGTATGTGCTCAATATCTAATTTAAAATTTGATTACTATATTTTGTTTAATAATTTATGACTATAATTTGGGTAAGTTGGATCCGTATCAATGCATGAGTACTATTTATTTATGTAAATAAACAGAGTAGATCTGTATAATAATTTATGTATCGAAGGTACATACATACAACAAACATGTTAAATTGTAATAGTAATTTTTCAATGAAAAAAATTGGAAAAAAAATAGAGAACGTGTTTAATACTATTTGAGGAATATTAAATGGAATTGTTTCTTCAGAGTGTTTGGTATGGCATTCCGACCTTCATAATTTCATGACCCTCTCACCATGTTTTTTCCATCATTTTTTTCAACAATTTCAACTTAAAGGAAGGGAGGGAGAATGAATATCAAACCTATAAAACTACAAGAAAATAGAAATGTCAACCGGAAGTTTTTAACTTTTTGCTTTAGAAATTGTTGGTCCACTTTAAATATTAACATTGATAAACTTATCATGACACCAATTATCTCTTGAAAAGTAATTTTTATAAGATACCTTATTCAAAAAAAAATTATAAGATATTCAAAGCTTACTAAATTAGATTAAATATGTTATAAGATATCATGAAACCAATCCTTGCTGAAGAATTTATATTTAAACCTCATATTTTGTTTATATCTATTGGTTTATGATTTCTTAATTGATGTAAGTGTTAAGATATAGCTTTAACTATCATGCAATTAAAACAAAAAGAAGAAAGATGAGAGGAAAACTTTAGAATCATTTTTATTATCAATCCAAAAACTGCCTTTACTCAAAACAAGAGAAGATTATATACTAAGCTGACTAACAGCTCCAACTGCTTCTTTTACCAACTTGGCACGCAACGTATGCAAGTCACATAAGCAAGCTTGTAACAAACTCTTAACAGCTGATTAACAAACTCATGCACAACAGCTTAACAAACTCTTAACAACTGATTAATAAACTCATGCACAACAGCTTAACAAACTCATGCACAACAAACAACATAACAACTTAGTAGAAAACATAGCAATGCATTTCATACTTCAACATTCACCCTGCTTAGTAGTTCTTGAAACCTCATTACCAAGTAATCAAAAACTTCATTCATCAACATTCACTCTGCTTAACAACCTTACAAAACCTGTTAAACTTCATTCATCGACATCCTCAACCATGCTTGTACTGTATAACTCATAAGCCAACGACTTATCTTTTAGTTGAACAATTAGAAACCGTAGTCTATGCTTTAGAAACAAAGGAGAAGACAGTGGTTTTGTGAAAATATCCACAACTTGCTCAATTGTTGGAACTTCATGAACATGCAGTATTCTAGTGGCAACCATCTCTCGAACAAAGAACAAATCTAGCACCACATGTTTAAATTTAGAATGAAGTACTGGATTGGCACATACATCAACAACACTCAAATTATCACACCATAATATAGGTGTACCATGATGATTGAAGCCATCTCATGTCTGTTGCAGCACAAGCAACACTTCGATATTCAGCCTCAACAGTAGATCTAGCTACAACATGTTGTTTGCGAGAACTCCACGAGACCAAGTTACCAAAAAAGTAAATGCATTAACCAGAAGTAGAACGCCTATCATCCACATCCGACCCCCAGTTGGCATCAGCAAAACCAGTCAGCGTTAACTTGGATGAAGGTGAGAAACATAAACCAAAATCAATGGTACCCTGCAGATAACGCAAAATTCGCTTCACAGCTTGAAAATGAGTATCAAGAGGAGCCTGTATGAACTGACATACTCGATTGACTACAAAAACTGTAACATCCTTAATATCGGGTTAGTGACCAAATTATAAAATTTCAAAATTTGGTGATAATAGTAGAATAGATGAATAGTTTAATGATTTATGCAGAAATATTGCCTGAAAGTTATTAGTAATTATTAAATGAAGTGAAGGGCAAAACGGTCATGCGACTTAGAAATTAATTAAAAATGGGATTGATAAGGATATAAGGATAAGATGAAGGATATATTTTTCTCCAAAACTTATTCATCTTCTTTCTTCTTCCTCAACATGAAGCACTCCAAGTAAAGGTAAGTTTTATGATTACTTGATTGTTTGTTGATTTTAAGTATGGGTTTTGATCCTTAGGTGATACTTAAGTTTAAGGAAAGGTTAAGTTGTCTTAAAATCAAAAGATTAAGAAGTTATGAAAGATTAAAGAAAATATGGTTTTAAGTGAATTTTTGGAAAAGAGTTGATAAGTTGAATTTGAAACTAAATTTGACTTGTCATCAACTTAATTAAGAGATATAAAGTTATAGAATTGGATTTAGAGCATCTTGAAAATTTGGTATGATTATTGATTTCCATATGAAAGATGAAATTTTAAGGTTAAAGATGCATTGAATGAGTAGAAATTAGTTTAAGTATATGTACTTGAGTTAAGAATAGAAAAGGGAATGAAAAATGAAGAATTTTAATGAAAAGTTATGGAATATTCGGGTGAAATCAGTTTATAATTGACAGGTGCATCGGTACACTATGAATGGGAACCGATGCACTAAGACCAATTTTGAAGGTGCATCGATGCATGGAAATTTCTAAGTTATTTTGGCTATCGATGTTACATAGTGCATCGGTACACTCCTAAAGGAAAAGTTGAAGTTTGGTTTATTGAATTAGCCTAAGTTGTTAATATCAAGTTATAAGGTTTAGGCTTCTAATAATCATCTCGGAAATTATGTTTATGTAGATATTGAGCCTAAACAAGTCCCGGAATAATCAAATAATTAGGATCAAATCAAAGCAAGGCTAAGGTGAGTGCAATTTAATTGTACTTATGTTATCGATCAAACATTGGCGTAAGATGAGCCAGTGACAGAGTTATTATGGTAAGGAATAATTTTAAAATGTTATGTGATTTTTATGTGTGCATGAGTACATGAAAATGTGTACAAGTGTCATATGTTATTATATGCGATATGTGATATGTGATACTTAACTACATGAATATATGAAAAATATGATATCAACTATGTGATATGCATGATATGTTATTTTATGTGCTATGTGATGTATATATGAATATATATGAACCAGATATGACATATGTACATGAAAAAATGAGAAATGATTTAAGCCATATGAAACAACCTACGTGATTATATGCAAAGTGATATGAACTATGTGACATATGAATATGCAATATGTGATACATGTTATATGATATGAGATAGATGTTTACACATACATGTGGTATGTGACAGAAGAAAAGAAATATGTGATCATAAGAGCAATGATATGAACTGTTATAAATGATAATGCCCATGTTATGTGATATGAGAGCTAGTGGTATATTTGGCATGCCAAGAGTCGAGGGTTACCTATGTTTTTCGGGACATATGGACTGTTACAGGTTACCTATGTTCTTCGGGACATATGGACAGTTATAGATTACCTATGTTCTTCGAAACAGATGCACTGATTACCTAGATTCTTCGGGATCTATGGACTGATCCTTCGGGACAAATTTCATATGTCACTCAGTGGGACATATACGAGCTGTGATGACAGCATAAGTGCACAACCTTAATGTACTCACATACCTTAAGTTCTCAAAAGTGTACATGGGCTAATACATGGTCTTTAAAGAGAGTAAATAAATCAATTGATATGATACTATGTGTTCTCTATTGTGAAATAATATATGTGTTCCATGGTATGTATAGAAATGTTCAGTATATGCTTATATGATAAAAAGGAACTAGTGATAGTAATATAAGTATTGATAAGCATATTAATGGTCTTACAAAAGGTATCAAAAGTGTTTGCAATGTTACATGTTATCATGCTATTATCATTTTCACTGAATTATTTGTGACATGATACAATAATTAGATTATATGTTCATATGTATATGAGAAGAATTATAGTTATTATGTTTTATATGCCTAACTAATTCAACGACTTAGCGTGTGATTGTTTCACACGTAGGTTCCGAGAAGAGAAAGATTGATAAAGGTTATGCAAGACAGGTTAGTTCCTCATTTCCAAAGATCAGATCAGAAA